TACTTCCAGCTTTTTGTAATAGGGATGTGAAGTGTGTACCATCAGGCGATGCTTCATTCAATTAGAAGTTTAATTAACGTTACTGTCATCTGTTGATTAGAAACAAATGATAATCTGTTGGGGTTCATGTGGGTGAAATTCGTGAAATGCAACTCAATCATGAAATAAGTTGTACAATTTCTAACTTTTTATATTTTAGAGTGTCAGTGTGGATTCCATCAAAATAGGTAGGGATGGCTTAGGGTGAAAAGTCCAAATTTAACAAGAGAACACGTCCGATAAGTATATGAAAATTGGTTAGTATGTTTTTTTAATGATAATTAACTCTTTATTTTATTCCTGTGGAACTAATGTTTAGTCTTTATTTGCCATTCAATTCACATCATTTTGGACACTTATATTGATTTCAATACAATAGAAACACATACAAAAAAAAACTTATTTTTCCAGATTATTCAATCGATAGCTGCAAAAAAGACGCGTCCCGAAACTTTTTAATTACTCAATATGCTACAGTGGATACAGTGTTGGTCAAAGTCCCTTGTGGTTGTCACTCGAGAGGGATGTCCTTAATCTGATTCTCGATAATGGTTAATTAGCAGCTAGCCGTGGCTAGCAGTAGATTTTTTGTGCGGATGTGCCATCCACGGTTATTTTGAGCCACCAGAGGTGCTCATCATGAATGTAACTGAATACCTATAATCTCTTTTGAAATGTTGTTTTACGTACTGGTGTGTCCAGGAGGGGGTTTTGTCGTAAGGGTAAAAAGCGTTTTTCAATACTTTACTTTTACAGGTGTCATTATTCATACAAGAAAAAAATTTTTACAAAACCAGTTAGAACAAGTTCGTTAATTTTAATTCCGTTGCATTAATTAAGTAATCTCATCATCATTTGTTGCTACAGCCTTATTATACAGTATTTTATCAATATGGTAAAGGACAGCTCGCATATAACAACAAACCATTTACGTTTCGTATGGATTACTTTTAATGTTTTACTCATCAAAAAATTTTCATTAAAATTTACATATCGAAAGTCATTTTAATATCAAATATCTGAAAATGATGATAATGTTTTATTTTTAATTTTAGTTTTCTTGTGCTTGTAAACATACTTAGGAACAAGTAACCAAACCTATTTTTAATGTTGTAAAATATTAAAAAAAATAACACAACAATAAACGATCCGTAGCATAGCAAGAGCATTTGAGCGAGACAAAAAAAAAAAAAAAAACATGCATCGCAGCGAAACAAAGAAAAAAGAGATTAAAAAGAAATGAGGGAGTGGCTAACGTTGTTTCCAAGCCTGAATTTCCAAACTCTTCAAACTTGCTGCAACAACGAAGCCGTGCCGTGAAACTTCGTAACGAATTTAGAGCTCGCGGACTTTAATCACGAAAAAATTTCCCTTCGGCGCCTCACGCACTTGAATTTGCATAATAAACCATAAATACACGAGACAATGTGCGAGTTTTCGTGATAGAAGGTAAAATACGTAATAAAAGCTCGGAAGTTGACAATGCATTTTGTATTTTTACACAATTCGTACGAGCAAATGCAAAATAAAAAGGGGGGAGGGGCACAAAAATATAAGTTGTAGAAAATAATATAAAAGAGTCCATGGGAAAAGTATTGGTATATTTTTCATGCAAGTTTGCATGTAGTAAAGTAACGAACTTTAGTAACTGCATAGAATAAAAACGATTAAGTGAATATAAATACAGTTAAATAAATAATCTTCAGAAGTTATTCACAAAAATGTAAAAAAATAAACTAATACCAATATGACACGATAATGTAAGGCCTGGACGTGTAGTGAGGCGAGTGTGCATGTAATTTTTTAACGATGATTAATATAAATTTTTTTACTTATACTGCTTCTAAGCTTTTTAAAAAGTGGTGTTGTCAATTAAAGGAAATGATCTTTACAACACACAGGATAAATCAGTTGCAAAACAATAGGATGTAGGTATTCATTACTATTCCAAATTTCAATGACCTTTGATTTTGTAAGCACACTAAACTTTAAAAACTCTTTACATTGCAGTAATTCATAATTCGGTCATCCGGGCATGCAAAAAAGTAAGAGTCATTATTGATCCTCTGAATCCCAAACAAGTGCCGATCAGTTTGTAAGCACCTACCAGGATAAGCCAAACTATTGCTCGTTTCAATACCAAACTGATTACGATCAGCCCTTGGATCTTTCAAAACACGCCAGCACCAACACGGATACGTTCCTGTAATTTCTGTGCTTGATCTAAGCTCCTTTTGAAAAAGAATATAAGCCATCCGATGATTATGGCTTGAATTGTTTGAATTGGTTAATTGGTCATCCACAAATGAGTAAGGCACTTTTTGGTATAAAATTTATAATTAATTATAAATTGCTCCAACTAAAACATTAATATTTACTGTAATATCTGGCTTAATTTGTAAAGAAAAAAAAAACAACTACTTGAAAGTGATGATTTACTGTTCAATCGAATTGTTGAAGTATTATTGCATCCACACACCACTTGATATTATTGATGGATTTTTACAATCAAGAGTATGCAATGTTATGCGGTAAGTTTGTATTGAGCTAAAAAATATTTTTAAGAGATTTTATGTATAAACGTTGAAAATATTGTCATTTTTAATACATACTACCTGTCACTTGTACGATTGGTATTATAATGTTGGGACTTTGATTCGGATAAGCATAATAGATATATCTTATAGTAAATCTTTGAAATATTATAATTTAATTCTTATTATTGTTAACAAAATTTATTTTTCTCCATACCTCAGCTGAAAATTTGTGTTTTCTGAACTTATAATTTTGTCAACTAGCAATATACAGTTGAAATGACAATATAGTCAGCATTTACATTTTCATATATTTGGTTTGTCTGTCTGTTTGTTCGCCCCATCCACATGATGTTATAAAGAAGACAAGCCCACCTTGCCTTCCTCTCCCTTCATCCTTTTCGTTCCGCGTGCTACACTCGCTATAGTCTTATCACCGTCACGTACTTATTTCCGACATCGTAAACTTCTCGACTATGACGACAACAGTAAAGCGGTGCTGCTGGTGACTCTTTGTTTTTTACGAGCACATTGGGCAATCCCTTCGTATGTATCCCTCGTAGCGTGAATGTCCTCGTATCACGCGTTTGAGTTCTATGTCTTGTTACCTCCTACCTGAGGTTTAGATTCTCACTGGATTCTCAGTATGTGCTCGTCAAGACTTTACCTAGCTGTTACGAAGTAGACAAATTCGAACAATCATTTACAGGCTGCTTTTGTAAGTACTTGACACGTTATTAGTTTTTTAATTGAATTTGGTAATCATCGAATAATTTCAACGGGTAGATAATATCTTAAATAATTATACGCGCAATTAGGAAATTATTTTTCGGGGTGATAATACGACTATAAGATAAAGAAAAGAAAAAAATCAGTTTGAAGATTTAAATCTAATTTTTAAAAATTATTGAAAACCAAATTTCTTCAACGATATCGGAATGAATAACTTGAGGTTCCAAATGAATCATCGTGGATAAATTGGTTCCTAGAGGTAATCGCTGCCCGTATCGGAATGTCTCGTGCACGTGGATTCAAAAAACAAAGAAAGAAAATATAGAGCGGACAGAGAAGCGTCAAGTGTACGATTGGAGGGGAGAACCAAAGGTGGACAGAGCGGGCGAGAGAAGAATTCCAAAGGGAGAAACGAGTAGGATGGAGCAAAAGAGGGCCAGATGAGGAGGAAGGGGAGGATAAAATTTACATTTTAATTGCGCAAGCACGCGGGGAGGTGAGATGGAGAACGGAAAGGGAAGAGAAATGAGGGCCATCGCGAGGAGTCGCGTTCGCGCTTTCGAAAGGGGAGAAAGAAAATAAAAGCTCACCTACATATATACATAGAGCGCCTGCGTGGCTCACGAAATTGGGGAGCAGCCCGGGTAACCTCTGTGTACCTGAGAAAAAGCTCGATGGAGCTTATTACATTACATTCATGTATAGCGTCTCTTGGATTTTTTATTCTTTTTTTTTTTTTTTTTTTTTTTTTTGTACAATAGCAGCGGCAAATCGGAACGAGCCACTGTCGGTACCTCCGAGATATTTTTTTGGCTTGAAGTATACATGTATCCCTTGTTTAACTATCTGTCTCCCCTTTCACTTGGATCAATTTCGTCTTGTTCTTACCCACTATGTATATATATGCACCGATATATTCACTATGGTAGCAGATGTGCTCTTAAATGCCAAAACTTTCCAAAAGTGGTGTTGGGTGTACGTCTGTACTGTACTAAACTATGCGAGTTCAACTTTCCCCTGATTTTAGTAGTTATTAGCTTGGTAGTGAGTAACGCAACATACCGTTGGCATATTTCATGGTTGATGATAAATTTTGTTCACTTTTTGCGATCATATTTTTTTATTAGTCAGGTAGAGATCAGATGGCTGCACGAAAGACAGTAAAGACACCAGAGAAATTGATAAGTAAATAATCCACTAGAATTGTCCAGTAGAAACCAATTCTTTGGACTTTCAGGATTTTTTAATAGTATACTTTGAATAAAGTTTTCGAAAGAGTAGTTCTTTAATTATTTAAAATAATAGAATTTTGAGCTGAAAAACAAATTTGTTTAAATAAACGAATATTATTTCAATTAGTTAAACTATTACATGATCGAAACTGCTATCGACATACTTTTGTTTAATTCAACAGGGTTTTAGTTATCGTTGAATAAATAATAAGTGCTTCACTTTAATGATGCATACCTCGATGCATACACTGAATTGGTTGATTTATCATTTAGATTTATAATTGGTAAAACTTGAAATTCAATATAGCGCAACTTCTAAAACTCATAGTTATTATGATGATTATAAAAAGGCCATTTCATTGCATTGAACTTGTGCTGTTGTATAAGCAATTCTATATTTTATTTACACTTTAATTTAACACAATGATATACAAAATATTGTTTGTGCAAGCATAAATAAATAAATAAATAAATAAATAAATACATAAATAAACAAATAATTAACAAACGTAAATGCTATTATATACGATAAACAATGACATAACACATATTTTTAACTGACGTATAGCGATAAAACATGTATGTACAAAATGTCCAAATGAATCGTTAAACTTGAAACGATGGTGAGACAAACCCCAACATTTGTACCGCTATGTAAAATTTATGACGCAAAGGTTTCAAGACCACATTCGATATTACTCCTGTGAATTCATAACTCATGCACACGCACTTTTGGAAATTCCGAGTTTCGAATACTTTTGCACTCAACAAAACCGCTCTCTTCGTCTCCTTCTTTTTCTTCTAAACACACCCGTTACCCCAGCACGCACACCAAGGCACGCCACCGCCACTGCTCGTGCTCCCCTTGCGGGTCTTCTCCTTGACAGCCGCCTCTCGACTGCTGATCGAATTTGTCCTTTCTCTATCCGAGTCTCCATTCATGGCCTCGGGGCTGGCCTCGCCTCTCGTCAGACACTGCCGCTCCCTCGTGTTGTCCACGCTTCTGCTCCGAGATGTCCTGGTCGAGCTCACGGATGGCCGTTTTTTCGCGCTGAAGTACAATGACACTCGCTTCGTCTGATGCTCCTTTTTCGGAGATTCTTGGCCAGACGACGACGACCGGCTCTCGTTTTTAACGTCATCCTGAGTCTCGCCCAAACGCGCGTTTGGACTTGGCTTACCGGGGGACTCTGGTACGTCTCTGGAGCACGTGCTCGTTTGCTTCTTCAAGCGATCTTTGCGCTTAACGGAGCCCGACGATCTTTGCTTGTCTTTCACCGATCCTGATTTATCCTTGCGAGAACGACGCTTCTTCGGCTGATTCAATGTGGGATTATCTCCTGATGCACAATTGACATTTGTACTCTCCTCTATTTCGTCTTCTATTGAAGTTTGCGTTTGGGCAGCGACCTTCATCGACGCTGTGTCGTAGTACATCTTCACCCCCTGGCCCGGACAGAATACAGCTGCTCCTCTAGGTACAAACGGAACGTTCTGGTACAACCTCGGGCTCTGTGGAACGGGACTCGTGCAAGTTGGCATTTTCCTCAAAGCATCCAGTTCATACGGCGTCATGGGTGGTAATTGCAGAGTATGGGGACTCGGCGTCTCGAAGGATGTCACGTGGTACTCTGGCTGTTCTCCGCGCGGACTTGGAAACCTAGCCGGCGGGATCATCAAACGCAGGCGATCAAAGTCCTTGCGCTTGCAAGCAGTGCAGTCTGGCTCCTGGATGCTGGGACCGCTGAAGCTCGGTTGGACTTTGATGGGGTTGGAATAGCTCGCTCCGGATACGGGACTTTCGCACACTTGGATGGACAACGGATGGGTCACGGGACTCGGGCCGTCGGTTCGGACTGGAAAGTTTTGATAGGCCTGCTCGAAATTCTGGAGGAACGGATTGTTAAACAATTTGTAATCTATGGACGGTAGTTGTGAAATTTCCGGCATCTCCGGGCTCTGGGATTTGCTTATCCTGGACCGTCTGTGGTCCACACTTTGCTGACTCTTGAAACTTTTGGAACTTGTTGTCATGTCGTTTAGCACGTTGTCACTTTTGGCCAACCAACGATTGGTACCAGAAGTCTTGAGACTCTCCGTAAATGCAGTGCAAGTACTCAAGTCCTGCCAGGACGCTGATCTCGTCAACGAATGGGTCAAGCTCCTGTTGGACTTTGTTTTCCTGACATCGTCCACGTTCAGATGATTCTCCGAGCTGAAAAAGGCCTTAGCGTCGCCACTCTCTATGCGACCGATTCCGTGACAAGGAATGGCTCCGTTCACGCAAACATCGACCGAGCCCTTTGGGCAATCGTATCGCTCCCTCGATATAACGGTAGCCACGGATTTCTCACTGTTCGGACTGCACCCGCTGTCGGAATGCCTCGCCGTGCCATTATTGTCCATCTGCTTGACGAAGCCCTCCTCAGTGTGGACAAGTCTTGGTTTTGCGGGCAGTGGCGCGAAAAAATGCCTCGGCCCACCATCGACCAAAGTCGTCGCGTCCGTCTCCCCTGTCCCTCCATCGCCGATCGACCTTTTATTGACGTCGCAATCCCCGAGGCCATTCTCCCGCCCGTCGCTATCACCTACCGCCGTAATATTGAAATCTCGAGATTTGCCGGAACGGAAGTCGTACGTGTCCTGCCTGAAAAAGGCATTCCGCCTCTCGGCCGACACGACCGTCATCTTCTCCCTCTTGTCCTCGGGCTGCTTGAACAGCTGCGAGTCCTTTGACGAAGACGGGACCAGCTGGGCGTCGTAGACCAAGGGTGCTTGCATCCTCGTAAAGTTCCCCTCCGGACCAGTTGACACACCGTTTTGCCATCCAACCGGTGGTGGTGGTGGTGGTGGTAATAGAGGCGAAGTTGCCGTACTTACGTACACCGGCTGGTGGCTGTACGCGCCGGTTACATCCAAGTGTAAGGGCGAGTGCGGGGTCGCGAAGTTGGCTTCCAGTGGAATTTGTGGCTCCTGGTTGCTGCTTGGAGTATTGGCGTACAGTTGCGGACGAGCGGTTGTTAAACGGCAACTTTCGTCCAACGGCACGGGGACGATGTTTGAGTAGCCACTGGCCTCACCCGCGGGACTCGACGCGAAGACAAACGGACAGTCGGCCTGATAACCGAAGCCATTCGGCTTTGTTGTTTGCCCGTGATAGGGAAGGAAGTCGTTTTGATGGTCCGTTGGGTTGTTGCCTCGGGCCTCGCGCCTATCGTCCAGCTCGGCCCTGCCGTCCTTTTTAATCTCTTCCTCTTCCTCGACCACCGGTAAATCGTCAAAGTTCAAGCGAGTCCGCAGAGGCGTCAGCTTCTCGGACGATATCTTCTGATTCTCGGCGTTCTCCAGCCGCTCCTCCTCGTCGTGCTGGCTCCTACGCGTCTCGTCCCTTGCATCCGATTCTTCATCGTCCTCGTCATCCTCGTCTTCCTCGTCCGAGCTTGATTCGGTAGCCTCGTTTTCCGAGCGATCCTACAAAGTTGAAACATCGATAACCAAACCCTACACTACTCGCCAGATGTCTATATATGTATATACGTGTATCATTGGTGCTAAAAAAGGTTGACAAAGCGTTACCGCTCGTGATGAAATTTAATCAAGCGAGTGGTCGGTGCCTGCAGTACTTTTATGCGGTACTGTACTCTCGAATATATTGGACGATAACGAATTTAATAACGCAAGTTATACGCGAGTGCTTTCAAAGCACATCCCTCCCATATGCTCGTACCGTACTTTATCTTATATAAATTTCTCGACATCATCCCCGTGTGCTCAAAGTACAAAGTTTTACGAGATGAGCCAATATGTTTTGCAACTTATTTATACGATACTGCTTCGGATGAGTGATGAATCGTAAAATTTGCGCCCAAAGTGTACCCAAGAGATAGAGTCGGGAAAAAAAAGCAGTTGATTAAAAAGTGCGATCGGAGACGGCTGGACAGGGAAAAAGATGAACAAGTGTCCACCGGAAGGAGGGTAAGTATATGTATACTGCGATTGTTTGCTCGACGAGTTGTGTATATATATGTGTACGGGTACGGGTGTCGAGGTGAGAATCGATCGGTCTGCCGGTGGTCCCTCGCGCCAGCGTGACAAGCGAAAGTGGAGGAGGAAGAAGGTGGCGAAAGAAAACTCGAGCCATCACCACCGTGCCGCCGTTAGCGCGGAAAATAGAGCGCGTTGAATATTTTACCGACGCCGCTTTCCCTCCTTCATCGCCTAATTGCGCGCGAAGCGAGCCGCCGAGAGATTACCCTTGAAATTTGAGAAAGTTACGGTCTTCCAGGACACACTCCTTGCCCGATTGCCTCCTTTTTTTCGCTCTCTCTCTTGTATTATTTTCGCGCTAAAATTTCCACGGCCCTTCCGAACCGTATGGTTTTTATTTATACGAGCTTGCGTTTGCTTTTTTGCGCGCAGGTGCGTTTTTAAATGGTTTTTGCTCTCCGTTCCGATTACGAGAGCTTGAGTTTTTTTTTTTTTTTTTTTTAACTCTCGATCGTCCCGCGTTCAAAGGTAAACATATGAAGGTTCGCGCGGTGCCGGGAAAATGCGTGGTAATTAAAAAAATTTCCCTCCGCGCGAGAGCTCACTCAAAGCGCCCTGTTTGCGCTTTAATCTCCCGCGTTCTGGGTGTTTGCCTCGCGTTCTTATTAAAATTTACGCGGGAAGCTTTATTATGAAAATTTCCCTGGTTTTCCGCGTGAGCCATGAAACCCGGTGTTTTAATTTCGTTGATGCCGCGAGTCGAGTTTTTGTTCGTTAAATATTTTACGCGGGATTTATGCGAATCGCGTCGGGCCTGGTAGTGAATTAATTGAAACATTCCCGTTTTTTGCGAACAGTTGTTTTTTTTAATTAAAGCTTACGGGCCACCAGAGTTGGCTCGTTTTTTCGTTGCAAATGTTGCTTTTTCGATGTTTTTTCAATACCCCGTATCAGTCGAATTCAGCGCACTGAACAAAATTTTTTTTTTCCATCAGAAATGTTATTGAAGCAACATGAATTGACGTACAGCGATCACAATTTATTGTAAAAAAAATCAATACGAGTGAACTGACGCGGTCTTTTGAAGCAAAAAGTTGACATTCCCGTTTGAATGTCATACTAAAGAGTGCAAGTTTCAAAAAAAGAAAAAAAAAAAAAAAAAACAATTTAAACACGCATAAAAACCGTACTTCCGTTGGTGCAAATACCGTGGAACTGTGGGTCATTGGTATTATTTTGCATACCTCAGGTTCACCGCTCTCCTCGCGGCTTTTCTGCTTCTTGAGGATCTCCTCAAGTTTGTCGTACTCGTCCCGCAGACTCCATATTTCTCTCCTGAGCTGCTCGTTCTCTCGGCGCAGCTTCTTTATGTCATTCTGGCCTAAAACAAACAGCAACCGGTCGAGCTGTTAGTAAAAAGTTGGTGCATCTGCGCGAACGGCTGTGCGGGGGAAAGGATGAAAGATTGACGATGAGAAGGAGAGAAAGCAAATATATGGAAAGGGTCAATGGCACGTGGACGGAGTACATACAAAGTGATTCATTATTTGATTGTGCCGTGTGTAGGATAGGCGGGTATGGTTTTATTTTCTTGGTTTTTCGTTTCGACAAAACTAAACTAATTTCACACGCAAATACATTATTCAAAGCACAAGTGACGTCCGAGGATTATTTATGCATCTCGATTACTCGGTTTTTCTAAGTATATCAAAGACTACTTCTAGATAATGGTGTTAGAGCCGTTATCTCTTGGTAGAGTCAAGTTTTGTCATTTTCAATAATTTTCGTGATTGATCCAACTATTTCAAAAAGAGTAGAAGCAAACCTATGGCAAAGAGAAAAAAACAAAATGGCCAATAACAGTTTCGCAGCAAAGACGAATGGCAGCCATCGAAGAAGTTTCAACGCAATGCTTTCCCTGGCCACAATCAAGCCCAAACGTTTAATCACCGTTCGACCGTGTAAGGACCACATCCCATCGTCATCATTCACGCGCGTCAAGACATCATCTTCCTCTTTTTCCGTGTCCTCCATTCAACTCTCTGATAGCCCTCGAGTTGTATATGCCAGCCGGGAACGCAGAGAGACCGATAAATCCCCAAGAGCAACTCTCCCGGGCAATCGCTCGTGAGATAAAATATGGGCACGCGCGGGTGTGCTCGAGGACGCACCGGAGATTAGCTAAAGTGGAGGTGATCATGTCCTCCGTACAAAGTTTGTGGGGATCCAAGAAAGCTTGATCGCGCGTATGGCATTGGATTTTCTTACTCCTCCATCGGATCACAAAAATCAATTCCAAATAATTTTAAGACAAGAGAGGGAAGGCATGAAATGCACCCTTTGGAACTCATCTTTCGGAGATCCGCGTTTTATTTTTAGCAAACGTAGGAACATCATCCGTCACCGGTCTCATCCCGAAGATTGCGCTCCCCCGCTCGATTATTCATTCGAGTCATCGGGTACTTTGTATGAATAAATCGTCGATCACGGTCAGCGGCCCCTTTTACTTTCTTGCCACTCCTCTCCCCACTTTTATCCCTTTCTCGTCCGATAAGATGCAAAAGGAGAGAAGGACGCAGTCGCGGGAATCCGGAGAATTGCTTTTTTCCCGCGCACTCAGTCGTGCTTCTGTGGAAAAGGTCAAGGAAGAGGGCGCGTAGAGAAGGGGGTGCCTGGGAGCAATCGTCGCGCGAGCGTATCCGCGTCTTTGAGAGAAAAAAAAAAAAAAAAAAAAAAAAAAAAGACGATGCAAAGAGGGACCATGGACTCGCCGAGGAGGAAACTCGAGGAGAAAGGGGTGGAGGAGGGTTCCCGTTGTTCTCGTCATTGATGGGAGAAATGAAAAATCTCCCGGTGTGGAGAAGAAAAGATGCATTTGTCTTAGATTTCAAAGGCTCGGAGCGAGTAGGAGAATTGTTCCGATTGCTTTTTCTCTGATGATGATCGATTTTCAATACACGACCACTTATTTTTTCATAAAGATGCAAGTGCTCGAAATTACACTGCATCAGCCGTTCTGTTACGTGCTTAATTTTACATTAATTGATGAACAATATACATAAAAAGTGAAGTTTGGTAGAAAAAGGCAAAATCACATCCTGGTAGTATACCAATAAAGGCCATTGTACCTGTTAAGAAGAAAAATAGACTCTTATGATGGCACATCCACAGACACTCGATTCTCATTTCGCGCACGTGATGTGTTTGCGTGAAAAAAAAAAAAAGACCAGAGAGACCGCTGGAAAATTACTCTCGCGTAGCACCATAGTTAGAAAATTCCCTGAGGGGTGATCCACACTGAGGGGAGCAAGCCCACAAAAACGAGCATATACATGTACGTGCTTGTGCGCGAAACTTGGCTACGACGACTACGACCAGAAATCGGTCCCGATTGAAGAGCATAGGTACATGTCTACTGTTGCCCACTCTCATTTTGGATGCTGTGGACGACGGCTATACTCGCGCGATTTCGGTTTTTTAACGAGCACATCATTTCACCCTGAATTTTTCAAATAAAAAAGGGTATTTTTATTCAAGTTATTTTTAGTGTTGAGCGCAATTAATCAACCAATTACATCACTGTTAATATTTGTATTTTCTAACTGCCTACGTTAAAACAAATTGTATAATCGTGTGAATGATAAATCAAAAAATTTGGTACTTAAAGAAATAGTAATTTATGCTAAAACTGTCATTGTTTAGCCACTTGTTTTTTTCATGACAATAAAAAGAAAAATAAATCTTTGGGTGAATAATTATCCAAAAGTATATTTCATTTTTAAATTATTCGAAGCCTCAGCACTTGAAAAAGACGTTTTCATTAAATCCTTCGATAGGAGGGAAAAAAATGAAAAAAAAACACAAGAGTTTGAAATCCGTCGTGTACGGCTACACATATACAGATTCCACCGTCTATTATTTGCAGCACTCACGGCACGTAATCGGCTTAGGGATTAATTTTTTCGAATGCCACTCGCGAAAGCGTTGCAGTTTCTCTCGGGAAAAAAGGTTTCCTGCAGAGAGAGAGAGAGAGAGAGAGAGAGAGAGAGAGAGAGAGAGAGAGAGGGGGGGGATTATCGAATCGCCTCGAATGTAAGGAGGCACGGGTTTGAAAAAGATTAATATCCCACCCTCGTCTGGCGTGAGCAGTTGGAATAACGTTGATCTACGCAATCTATACTATACGTGTCAAACGTACATTTATAATTTTTTCATAGAGTACTCTTAGACTTTTTTTCTTCTATTTACGTACTTTAATAAATGAATTTACAATGAAATGTTTAATTACCGAATTAGATTTAACTTTATTCATCTAAATGTTTCATCGTAAAAATATCGTAAATAATTAAAAAAAAAGTATACTCTTTGATGCAAATTTTTTCCTCGATTTTTTCTAAAGCAACGCAATAAAAGTTATAAAGTTCTACATTATTTTAATCTTGATCGAGATAAGCGCACGATACGTGCACTGGTTAATGGGATTGCAAATATTGCTCCCACTACAGACCCGATTGTACGCGTAAGAGGTTCTTGTTTCATTAATTTATTAGGTTAAAAAGGGTGAAGTATAATTTTATCAGATTATGATTTGGGAATTGATGAGTAAGATAGTTATATGAGACAATGATAACACCTTCGGGTCAAAAATATTCAAAATTAATCGTTTGAGTGCTTACACTCACAAAATATTGAAATACAAGCTGCCAACTTGGAGAGAAAATACACCTCATCCTTGTAGAGTTGTACTAAATTATGCACCCATTACCCATACCCAATAATCTCGAGAGTCTAACGATTGCCACCGGCTACTTACTCGTATGGGTGTGTTGCATGCATTAATTCGATCCTCGACGTGGATGGTTTCGAACATCCGTGCAAACTCTACTCTGTAGTTTTCCTCCCCCTCCTTCATGCACGTATGCTGTATCCCGAGTATATATTTCTTGTGCGTGACGCTAACTGTGTCTCTCTCTCTCTCTCTCCGGTGCTGCTACTATTGCTTTGCTGCTTCTCGGCGACGCGAACTTTACGCGCGGATGGGAGTTCGTGTAAATTAGGATTACCGCAGATTTAAATGTGTTAAACTCTGATGTCGGAAAAGTTTTATCGAGCTGAGCTTGGGGTTTATTCAGATGTGTAGTACGGAAAACGAGATGTCGATGTTGTTGAGAGATTAATTTATGGAGATTTTTATTTTGTTGGTCAGAGAAAACTCTGGAAAAACAATGCGTGGTCTATTTCCGATGTATTATGTCTTTAACGTTAATCCAAGATACGAAAATGCCTTTTTGTAATTGTAAACCTCAATCTTTTTTCTTATGTACCTATATATTTTATTTTAATTAACAAACTTCTTGTTTTTATGACTCGTAATGGAAGCATTACAAACAAATTGTTTACCTTTCTGGATTTTCTTTTCTCCAACGGTCACATGATGTTTTAGCTTCTCTCTGTTATTATGTTTGTAGTCTCGAGTTTTGTTTCTGTGTCTTTGTCCCTGTATTTCATTTTTTGTGTTTTTATCGCTAAGGGCTGATCGACTAAGTTGTCGAAAGGTCAATATATATATACTTGGATGTTGTGATAAAGATATTAAAATAAAAACACTGGTGTCTCTCTAATTTCATGATACTCAGCAGAAGAATATAATTGTAAGTAGTGATAAGGTCAAATATAACTATACTCCCATAATCATTGAACAAAAGTACACGGTCCAAATACACAGTTACCCTGTGAGGTGAAAAAAAAAAAAAAAAAAAAATTGTTGTCAAGACAGTGGGTACATTTATAAAGCTTCCACAGCGGAGCCAGTGTAATGCCCGCACCAATTAGTCAGCCCCTTTTCTTGCCCAGCACGCATACACATCCGCAACACTGCACCAGCCCCGTTTGAGCTCGTGGTGGCCGCATATCATTAATTAAAATCTTCCCAATGATTATCAGCAGGTAGCAGCCGCGCGTCGAGCGACAAAACCAACCGCTATGACTGGCCACGACATTAGTCACCCAGTCCGGGGGGGAGAAATTGCTCTGTTGACACTGCTCGCTCGGTTTCCTCGTTTTTACTCTCGCTTGGATGTGTTGCACCTACCTAAATGTGGACACACATAGGTACACGCGATGCCTCCTGCCCTGGACAGGAAGACCGACGCGGAGCACTGTCCGCACCACCACCACCGATGACAATTACCAGGCGTCGGACGTATACATAATTGCTTTTTCCTCTTATGCATTGTTTAACTCATTTCCTCCCCCTTTTGGAGTGCCTCTCTTCTTTTTATTTTCCCTTGGAAGTACACAGGGTTGTCATATTCCTCGAAATATACAACCACTTTTGAAATAAGATGCGCCAATATTCCAATGTAAGAGATGAGTTGACAC